CTTTGTAATCTCTGTGGGGCTCTTTTTTCCCCCCATTTCTGAGTAAAACACCCTTGACAGAGCACCTACCTACCAGCTACTAACTGTGTATGTTGTGTGAGTCATACAGTTCTGGGGTAAGAAACCACTTTCAATTCTGGGAAAGGATGGTAAACCACACCTGGTCCCGACCTTCCTGGTGACAGGTTTTTCTTAGGAATTAGGTAAAATTATAGTGGGTTGATTAGATGAGAGAGATATTTCATTTTACAAAAGGCAGAGACCTGGGGGTTCGAATGAGGCCAAGGAGACCTTCCCCTGTGAGGCAAGGTGAGCTGTAGATGTGGCCAGAGGGTAGGATTATCAGTGCATAAGTCTTGAGGGAAAGATTTATAGTGAATAGGAAGTCAGATGTGAGGAAGGAAATCCATGTACATGCTTCGACACGGGTGAAATCTAACAATATTACACCAAATGGAACTAGCTAATCACAAAAAGATGAGCACCTATACCTGCAATAGTTGAGCATACAGGAATAGAAAGTAGAATGGTAGTTTCAGGCCTGGAGGGAGAGGCGATGGGGAATTACTGGTTATTGAGTGCAGCGAGTCAGTTGTGCAAGATGAAACGCTCCAGGGATAGATGATGCATGATATCTAACGCTACTGAAACACGCACTGAAAATGGTTGAAAGGTATTGGTTTTATCGTTTGTGTCTTGTGTTATGTGTACTCTGCAACAGTGCAAAAGGAAAAGAAACCTGGGTGTAACCAAAGTTGGTGAGAAGCACTCAGGGAGAATTTCTGAGAACAGAGGGAGCATCGAAGTGGAAATGGAGGCTTGACTCTCCCTCCACTTTGGGAAGTGACTGGGAATCTGGCAGAAGACAGGCAGCAGGAGGGGAAGAAGGTGGCCCTGGGGACAGCGCTATGGTTTGTGTGAGTGTATCCCCTAAAGATTCGTGTGCCACACCCTTTACCTTCTATGTGTACTAGTGGGAGACAGTAGGCTCTGAGAGGTGGAGCTCACTGGAATGTGTTTTAGAAGGAGCTACTCTCAGAAGGATGGATGTAGTTCTCTTGGGATCCTGATTAGTTTGTGCACAAATGGACTAATGTATTGTTATATAGAAAGACTGTACCACGTGCTTGGTTTTTTCTGTATATGGCTTTGTTATGCGGTAATACAGTTAAAAGGACTTTGGCCAGAAGCCAATCAGATGAGATTGCTTAATCTTTGGCTTTCAGCCTTCCAAAATGTGAGTTAAACAATGGCTTTTTCTTTACAAAGTGTCCAACCTTGGATGTTTTATTTTATAGCAACAAAAATATACTAATATAAGCAACATTTTTGAGAAGGCAGGGGAATGGCACCTGGGCATTGCCGTGGGGAAAGAGGACTCCTGTCTTATCTATGATTTGATAATTGGATGAGAAAGGGGATAGGGTCAGCTGAGAAGGGGGGAGGGAGACAAAGACATTAGGGGACATTCTTCCAGTTACTATATGAGGTGGCAAAAGAAACTAACGGACTGACTAAAATTGTTGGGATATCCTGGATCTTCGTAGAAAGGAAGGAGTGGTCATCACAGAACATAGAAAATCAGACATTAGGGTATAAGAGAATCCACAGCTTTACATCTTTCAGCCTTGTGGTTTTGGGGTGTTAAAGGGCATCTAAGGCTTGGACAGTTGTCTTCCAGTCTCTGGTAGTGGGGTCAGAGCTTGAGTCTAGCAGAGACCCCTGGAAGAACCTGCTTAATGATAAAGAGAATTCAGACATTTTGATGGTTCCTGTGACTGGTCTCTAGAGAGACCACTGTCTTCTATTCTATGTCCTTATCAGATAGCGCAAACAAAGTATTGTTCTCACCCCCAGGGAACGCAGGCACAATCTCTAGGAATCAAATCATAACTCTGTTTGCTAGCCCCAGCTTAGGTCAGTATCTCAGTTACGAAGTTTAAAGAAAGCAGTTGATATACCAGGTGAAGGTGGGGCCCAGAATCAGGTTTTCTACACTGTCACGACTGGGCGGTGTCTGTTAATTCTGGGCATTGATAGAGGGACAAGTGCTTCCCTTTCACTGTGTTAAAGTGTTAGTCATAAAAGGGGGTGTGGGGGACAGAAAATAATTCCTCAATGAAAGATGAAAGAGTAGGAATGAGACAGTGAAAGAATGAGAGACGAGTGGGAACCAGCTGGAGATAGCAGTCTCTCCTCTTTCTCTTCCACCTTTGAGGCTGTAGAATGGGGCAGGCAGGGTAACCGCTTCCTTTCCTCATTCGGAGAGAGATCAGAGACTGAGTGGCATGTAGGAAAACCAGTTCATCTTCTGGTAAGGTCTTGGTCATTCTGGAAATGTCTGTTAGTATTGAAGAAGTGTCTAAGAATGAACTGTGCTGGTTGGGAAGCTCTCCATTCTCCTGTCTGGAGATAATAAAAACCATGAAATAAATAAGGTTCTGGGAATTGATTTTTGGAAAGCTTTAGAGGGTGGGGCATTTAGAGACAAGGAGACTTGGGAAACTTGGCTAAAAAGTAGACTTTAGGAAATCATGACATGGGTGTTCTATAGTGTCTTCAAATCGAGCTGCATCTGGGATGAGTTTGCAGCCTTTTGAGTACACCAATTCTGAGAAGCCTATGGATTTCTTGGGTTTTTGACAAGTTCTGCCAAGAAATATCTCTGGGTCTGTCTAGTTTACCCCAAGGCATCAGAGCTGAATTGTGATGCCGTATTAGGTCAATCTCAATCCTAAAGTCCAGAGCTCACTAGACCAGAACTCCTCTTCCCAACTTGTCTCTCTCTATTCCAAAGTTTTTCAAATCCATCTGAGTCCACATAGGGAGCTGAACAAATTGTGTGTTGGGTAGGGGGTGGAGAACTTAGAACTTCTCTGAGACACGGAAGTTGGGGTACAGGTGCCCTAGAATGATCCTTCTGTTGAACAATGTGCTGTGGGCATGCCATGTCTGGAAGAGCTCTTTCTCCTCAGGATCCACTTGCTTCTCACCCCAGCCTCTAGCTACGAGCATCACTCCTCTCCTCACCTTCCAAATTCATACACTGAGGTCATAACCCCCATCACCTCAGAGCATGACTGTTTTTGGAGGTAGGCATTTGTTAACAGATAATTAAGGAAAAATGAGGTAGGATGGTCCCCTAATTCAGCTTCACTGATGTCTCTCTAAAAAGAAGCAATCAGGACACAGACAAGCATAGGGAAGACGGCATGAATAACAGGAAAGGGTGAGCCAGGGAGTGCAGCCTCAGAAGAAGACTATGGCATTTCCATGCATGGGAGCTCACACTTGCAGAACTGTTGAGAAATTAATTTCTGTCGTCAACATCAGCCAGTCTGTGACATTTTGTTATGACAGCCTGAGAGAATGAGGACACCTCATCTAGGGACATTTTTATTAGCTGGATGTGGGGCTGGTTTAGTAATTGTCCCTTCGTGGAAGTCACAGAGTTAGTAAGATACGTGGCCAGGAAAGGATGGATGGAGCTATATGTGGAAGAAGACAGTGTCTTCCCTTTTCTACCCCATCCCCACTCCCTGAACCCATTCCCAGTCAGTGCACTAGAAGCTGACACTGGAGGGTCAGGGTTATAAACATACATCAATCCCCATGGTTATAGAACCAGGCTGCCGCACCGGATGGCAAACACAGAGACCATGAGTTTTGCAAAGGAGAAAAATCATATTTGAAGGCAGCTGAGCTGAGCACGGAAGGGGAGAATCACATTAGATCCAATTCCTGGAGGATAGGGTCTGGTGCGGATATATGAGACAGGAAAGAGTGGCTGAGGTGACTGTAATTAGTCTTCATGGCTCTTTATGGGATTCATGTTCAGGATAGGCCAGCATTATAATGTTCTGAGGGCAAAAGGTTTGGTCCACGGATGCCAAAAGGTCATCCACTAGTCACCTGCTCAGGTCCAGATGAGCCAACTTCAACAAAAAGCCATCTAGTTTTGGAGAAGTGACCCAGGAAACCATTATCATCAAAGCTCACGTGTTAGAGGTGTTTATGGAAGAGTGGGAGACCAAGAACCTATCCACCTGTGTAGCCTCTCAAAGAAAGTCAACTAGAAGTGGGGCTAGGAGGATGGTTCAGTGGGTAGAGTGCTTGTTAGGTATGCATGGTCACCTGCATCCATGCAGTGGTGCTCCATGCAGTGGTGCTTATCTATAACCCAGCACTGGGGCAAGAGACAAGAACATCCCTCTACTTGTTGGCTGCTGGGCTAGGTGACCTAGCATGTTCCAGGTTCATTGTGAGACCTTCTCTCAGAAAATGAGGCAGAGAGAAATCGAGGAAGACACTAGACTTCAAACTCTGTCACACACACACACACACACACACACACACCTAAAATAAAACTAAAGTCTGATAAAAGCAGGTTATTAAAAACAGATAAAGCTAGAACGATTATTCACTTATTTATGCCAGTTTTTGTGGTGGCAGGACCAAGCTGGTGGCTCATTTAGGATTAGTGGCTGCCCTATTATCAAAGTCCTACATTTTGGACTCCTTTAAAATATATGGAGCAGAGAGAGAGAGAGAGAGAGAGAGAGAGAGAGAGAGAGAGAGAGAGAGAGAGAGAGAGA